GAGATGGAGGGGAGTGAGTGGAGAGAGGGAAACTTGCAGAGAAAGGCTGAGACAAATACCCAATAGGAGCATCTGATCTCTGGATTGAGCCATGCTTCTAGCTTATCCCAACCATATACACTAGCAGATGTCCTTTTGCTTAAACTGGGTTTCTGTCATTTAGAACCAAGAATCCTTATTAATACAAGATCTATGAGGTCTTATATATAAGACATGCAATATATATATTTTTTTTTTTTAAAGATTTTATTTATTTATTTGACAGAGAAAGACATAGCGAGAGAGGGAACACAAACGGGGAGTGGGAGAGGGAGAAGCAGACTCCTTGCCAAGCAGGGAGCCCGATGCGGGACTCGATCCCAGGACTCCAGGATCATGACCTGAGCCGAAGGCAGTCACTTAACCAACTGAGCCACCCAGGCGCCCCATGCAATATATATTTGTTAACTGAAATATATGGAATATTATTGATTGAGCACTTATGATGTATCAGGAGCTGTGGCACATGCTTTGTACACTGTATTTTATTTCATCCACACAAGTACCTTAGAACCATCTGAGTGTTTTAGGAGAGGAAATTGAGGCATGAAGGTTATATAATAATTGCCCAGGTCACATGTTCAGTAAAAAGTAATGCCAGAACTCAAAACACAAGACTCAGGTACAAAAAACCCATGCTCTTAAATACCACACAACACTGAACAAATGATCTAATGAAAAAGCATCAAACTAAGTTTAAACTATCTATCCTGAATAATCTGACACTTCTTAATGCTACATGGTACTTTTACAAAATCTCACAGTTGAATAAAATTTAACCACGTCCAAAATACTACAGCCCATTCTTAACTTTTCCAAAAACATCCAGGAGAAACTTCTTGCCTGATTTTAGACCTTTTCATAGCTTAAGACATGTCCTCTCAAATCTTACCTTTCTCCTTCTCTAGAGAGTAAATCTGAAGTCTCTTATTCACTGTGTCTGGACACAGTCTCAGGAAGAAGGATTCCAGGCACCATCTAAATTCTATATCCCCCAGCAATTAACCACTATCACATATGACATTTGAAAGGGAGAATTATATTTTATTTATCCTTGAAATCCCTACTCTATTATATACAGATACATCATGCCAAGTTCAAGCTTAGTCATTACTATGACCAAAAAATGATGTATTTTCATAAGGTTATTAAAATAATAGTAATTGAAAATATTTGTATAGTACTTTACAGTTTACAAAGCACTTTTATACAAAGTATATCCCTGGACCCTCCTAGCAATCCTATAAGGAGACAGAGAATAAATCACACCTCCATTCAACAGTTAAAGAAACTCATGATGAAAGAAGTACAATTATTTGCCCTAAGGCATACAGCTGGTAAGTGACAGACTGAGATTTTAAAACAGGTCTTCTGGCTCCAAAGTCAATGTTCATTCCAAGAAAATAAATACTTTACCACTGACTGCTAAAGCAGTTTTCTACGTGCTTATTTAAAGCATTCTTTCTCCTCTAAACCTTTATGCCAGAAACGTTTAAATAAATCATTACCTCCTCTAAAGTCTCTTCAGTACAACCCTGTGTTCATGAACACTTACTCAGCAAAATCCGCCACCCTTAGCGCCCAGGAAAGTGTGTCTCAAGGCTTCTACCTGGAGCTGTGCATCTGCAGCTACTCAGAAATCCCAGGAAAATGAGTGTTCTTAATAGCTACACTTTAGACAAAAATCTTTATATAATGTTCTATATATTTCCTTGTCTGCCCTTAAACAGATTGTTCCAAAACAACACTCTCCTGATTCAAACAAGAATTATGTACAGAGCCTGAGTCCTCTAGCCAGGCCCTGTGTTAAGTGCTGATGATTCAAAGGCAAAGAGACACAGACCCCAACTTCAAGGAAGACACAGGAAAGGGTGAGGAGGTAGCCAGAAGCACCTGAAAGGTGCAAAAACAGGTGTCTAAGGTAGGGGGAGCAGATGGTCCAGAAAGCCTTCGGGCAAAAAATAAGGGATACACAGGCAGAGAACAACAGAGAGCACCACAGACATGGAATTAAGGAGGAAATCCTAGGCAGTTTTGCAATAATCATATCCAAAACTTGATGCCTAAGGGTAGAATTGAAGAAGAAGAAGAAGAAGTCAAAGTTCAACACCAGCCTATAAGGCTAGAAGAAAAAGACACATTGCTAGGGTCAGAGATGTCAAGCACAGGTGAGGGCACCCCTGGAGAAAAGTAAAGGCAACTATCCCACATACAACTCAACAAGGAGAAGACAGCAGAAAAGGAAACCAGGGCACGTACGTGCATTCACAGAGAACCTTATGTCACCTCTTCATCTTCTCATTTTCTAGATAGAGCAAGCCCTGAGTTGGGCTCCTTGCTCAGCGTGGAGTCAGCTGGAGATTATCTCCCTCTTCCTCTTCCTCTCCCTCTGCTCCCCTCCCCCAACCACCTCTCTAAATAAATAAATCTTTCTAAACAAACAAACAAAGGAGTACATTTTTTTGTCCAAAGCCACAGACGTTAGTAGCAGAATAAGGACTAGAGCGCAGATTGCTGGTTCCTTGAATCTAAGCTCTGCCAACAGACACTGCCTACCTCCTGGTATTTACATAAATTTGTATTGCTTCTTGCACCTTTCAAAGCTCACTTAAAATATACTATGATGAGTACTAAAATGAATTTTAATGATAATAGAATTTACCTCAAAATTATTTATGCTGAACTAATATAATCTTTCATAAATCTACTGGGAAATATCCTTAGAGTCATTTATATCATTCTTTTCCTATAGTAGTTACCTTAGAAAGTGGAATGTAGATTAGTGGTCATAACTCACTGCTGGGTTTTATTATTTTATCATTCTAAATAATGGTCAAGGTTAAAGATAATAGTGATATTATAAATCTACCATTAATGCATATAATGAAGTCTGTATATCTATAATAACTAATAGAGTAATTAACTACAGAAAATATAGATGCTAGCAGAAAAATTCTTTGAAAATGGGCATAATTATGCTCACTCATGAACAGCAGTACTCTTTCACAAAGACACAAGACTCAGAGTCTTCTCCCTGACCAGAATACTCTCCCCTAAGTGATCTTTAGGAGATAACATAATTCTCTTATGGAAGTACGGGGGGGAGGATCATCTTTCTTGATAAGAAAGCAGAGGTAATCATCTAAACTCCTCTAATAGGGGGGATCGTGGGTGGGGGGGATAAAATAAACTCCTCTAATACTATAATCTCAAATTATTGTCCTGGGCATTCTCATTAGCTGACTTCTAAAACACCTCCAGAAAAGTTTTGTTACTAACTTTTCAGATTTCTTAAGAAAAATATAGTATATAGTTGCCTATTATACGCTAGATTTTACCAACATGTTGAATTTACCCATTTCATTTAATTTTGTTCACACTGAAAGTGAATGTCAGAAAGAGCATGGAGGTAATTATGCAGCTGAGAAACTGCCCAGGTGCCTATAGATTGCTTAAAATATTTCTCTAAGTCTCTCAAAGTTAAGTCCCAAAAGTACTAAAGGATGACATTCTTTCCAACAGATGTTACAGTGGTGCTGAAGAAGTATGACAAACAGAGACCCACGGGGCCTAAAGCATGTGCTCAAAACTGGCCCTCAGTAAACACCTATGTAATGAATAGTCCCATCATACCATTCTGTCACAAAAGCCTTTCTGGGTGCTAGACCACCTACTAAAAATGTTTAATTTTTATTTATTCCATTTAGAGAGCAGAATACTAAGAATTTATCAAATGAAATGTGCAAGTAAAACACCTTTAAAATAAGTTGAACAGCTTCCCCCTAACTTTTTTAGATCACAAAACTCCATAAAAAATCAGAACTACCTGGATTTTTCTTATATGCCGTAAGAACTTTGCTCTTCCACCTAAACCTTGCCTTCCAACTAAATGTCATTTTGATCATTAGGAACTTTTGCTATATCTGAGTTTTTTGGAGAAAATTTACAGTTTCACATCTCAACACGTGATAAAACTTTAAGGGCAAGCAATAATGGCAAAATGGAGGTGGAGATTATCCCCAAATTACTGCATCTCAACACCTAATCAGCAGGGGAACTTAGAAAGAGGCCATTATCTTTAACTTGGAGGCAAGAAAGCTACAGGGCTGAAACAAGCACCTGAAGAGCATCCTATCATGTTCACATCCACCTGAAACATCATCTTTCTTGGATTGGTCAAGGTCATGCTTCATATGCTTCTGTCTGTTTTCCTGCATGTACGTGTATTATAGAAAATAGGATTGATACTTAAATTTCCCTGAGACTAAAACCCACAAAAACAAATTCAAAACATGAAACTGGCTAACCACAAAGGATCCCAGGGTGACTGACAAACTAACAACTACATATGTGTACTAACAAGTACATAAGAATGTACTACATGATGTATTTTACAAAGCAGCACATTGTCAAGTCATTGCTCAGAAAGATGAGGAAAGAGGCTCACAAACACAGGAAATTGCAAGTTAAGAACACATATTAACAATAACATTCTTTTCCCCATGCCCATCACCCAGAGAGCAGTAACAGGCCTCCTGATTCATCCCTCCTCTCCTACTCTTGTCATTTATTTAGAAGAGGCTGGACCAGAAGATCATTATTATTACCTAATACTCAACATCAATGAAGTCAACTTTCACTCTTAACTATTTCCAGCATACCTTCCAACAAATGCTCCGAAAAGTAAAAATGCCTAACAAATTCCTCAAGACTACAATACCTATCAATCCATGCCCCACAAAATGGTCTGCAAGCCACATTAGATATACCAGTCACCACTAACTTTATGGTTTTCAGCAAAACCATGCGCAGAATGGAAGACAATCAATTATTATACTCAAAAACTTTCAATTCATATAAATCTGAATTCACCAGATAAGGGAAGAAAATCCTCTTCAGTAGGTTCATATTGCCCAAATTTCAGAACTCCTAAGCAAATGAATATTAAACATGTAACTTGCCAAGACTTGGGCTCTCCAAAGTGGAGATAATTAATGCTGTAGAGGTCCATATCCTCGGTGTGCCATGCGAATGTGGTTTTCCACATGCCAAAATAGAGATAAGGGGTATTTACACCCTCTATAGAAATACCGCACTCTTCCTCAACCACATCCAAGACTGTATTTAGGCGAGCTATGTTCCATTCATCCACACCCTGGAACCAGGAGAGAGAGAAAAAAAAATCAAACATTAATAAACTAATAAAAATAACATTTACTAATCAAACTGTCATGTGCTAAAATTATCACACTGTGTATTTTAATTCACTGAGAAATGAAAAATAAAGCAATCATCATTCAGGTGATACATCAATTATTAATTATCCAAGATTACTACTGGCATAATGTAGTTCTGTATGAACATTAGTATGAAAGTATAGCAAAAAACTTCCTGATTCCAAATGGAAGTGTAAGTTAAAGCCCCACCCCTCAGTGGTTGTTAGCAAAAAATCATTGATTCAAAGAATATGATTTGAAGTGTGCTTTCCATTTTTGGCACACACACCTTCTATTTGAGGGGGGGAGGTAGCTTTTTGCTTTTTAGTTTATTTATTTGTACATTAGTTTAGAAGTCATGTTCAAGGTTGGACATTATCTCAAGACACCAATGGCAAAATATATCTTCTGTGCTCCCGCTCTCATCCCTATCCATTTCAATTTTAGCATGTGATACACCATTTCCTAAAAATCCCACCTCTAATTATGGGGAAAACTCTTAACACTCTTCTAAACCACAGATCATTGTGCTTTTACTGTTCCTTCAACTAAATATTAATGTCTTATGTTGATGAGAAGTTTTAAACACAGAATAATTGATAAAAATATTTATCCAAACTTCAATAAAATTGCTGGGAAAATCTAGTTTTATAGCAATAATGATGATAGAGAGAAAAGGAGGGAGTCACTGATATTAGAGCCATGGTGATAGGAAAAGATTCTGGTTTTATTAGAACTACCAATTATTCAATTATAACTCACAACTGCTTAAGATCTTTACAAACTGTGTATTTTTCCTACATGCCTTTCTCAAAATGAAACATAAACATTAGAGATCAGGCCCATTCTATGCAATCATGAGGAAACTGCAATGCCTTTAAATCCATTTCAATCTCCTCGTGATGCTATTAAAGAAGGCCATTAAATGTGTTCCTCTATACTGATAAGGCCTTCTCCAATGACTATGCCTATGACCACACAGACAACCACATCTAGCATTTCCCTTATACACTAAAAACTTCCAGGGTTGTTCTGTTTTCATTTTGGTCTCTAGACGATTCTCTAATCAGTGTACAAATCTCACTTCCTCAAGCTTTGGATTAGGAAAATTATTGATGCAGCAGTTACTGACGCTCTGCCTCAGGTAACATAATTAAAAGTCCCAGAGGAAATAATTTCATTCCCAAACTCCCCTGAGCAGCCACTCTATCTATAACTTAAACCCCACAGTGGGAAGTTTGCAATTTGGAAATTGGTCAAAGTATCTTTTTAGAGAAGATCCTAGGTTCCAACTTATGAGACCTCATAAAAAATTAAATCAAATCCTATAAAATGTTTTATCTCACTCTACTTATAGTGTTGCAGTCTCTTAACTCTAGTCCAATCAGACCTCGGTCCAATCACTCTAATAATAGAGTTCTATTTGAAAGTCATTACTGAGGTGATGAATCTAAAGTAATAAATGAGCACCATATTATAGGAATCATTTTAAACTGAATGAGCTTAAGAATTTAAGAACAAACTATCCCCCTGAAATTCCTACATTTAGAGAATTCTTATCTTTATTCCTGACTGACATTACCTTTCAGAAATAACTGAGGCTGAATCCCTTGACATCTCTTGACCTGCAGCTCTAAGAGGAAGAAGGTAGAGAAGAAAGAGTATTGAGAGAAGACCCAGATTATAGCCCCAGCTCTGCCACTGACCAGGGCAAAAATCAGAGACTTTCTGAGCTTCCAGTCTTTCTTCATGAAAACATGAGAGCTACAGCATCTTCCTAGAGTTGCTTCAGAGTACTGAATAGACTAACAGATACAAAATCTTTGGAAAATAATGCCTACTATTTCTTAGAATCTATGAAATAAACATCTCCAGTATTCTCTAATAAATCTTACTGGAAAGCCTCCCCAAACAACGAGATAAGTAATAATAAAGCCCTGTGAAATTCACTACTGGTTCTTTCCATTAGTGAGCGAGTAATATATTTACAGTACTTTCTTCTGGGCAGAGCCACAGCTGCCATGATGCTGAAACTTAGTTTCTTTTAGTCAAATAAAAAGTCGTATATTTCAACTAAAGAGGTTATATTAAGAGTAACTGGCATAACAGAGACTAAAAATAAATCTTACTGTTTCAAAATTCCTTCTCCAATTTGTGTTCTCTACTATTGACTGAACTCCCTAACTGCTACCAAGGACAGGCTCTGCTCAAACACTGAAGAGTCCAGGTCGCCCTCACAGATTTAGACAAGGAGTACACCTAGTCTGTCATTTCGACAGTGTTATACCGTACCCTACATACCATTACGCTACACATACATTCATATTATACCTATTCAAAACAATCCTGTAAAATAGGTAACATTATACACAAATGAGCAAATGGAAAAACTAATACTACTAGCTAGTAGTAGGTGGCAAAGATAAACCTAAATCTGATTCCTGAACCTAAACTCAATGCTTCCAGTTCTGCTCATCTTAAAATAAAATGTATCATCCTCTTCTCTCAGCCTCCTCAACAAAGATCCAAGGAGCTAAAATTTAAGACACGCAAACCCATGAAGTTCCCACATTCTTCCCACCCACAGGTACAACCATCCTACACAAACACTGGCAAAGCTTAAAATGCAAGCCTGCTTTACTTTTGTGGGGGTGGTAACAGAACTCATTTAGTGTAAAAGCAGTCTCCAAAAAGACCCTAGCTACAAACAAGCCCCACATGACAGATCAGAATTTGTCAAACTATTCAAAGCTTACAGCCATTGAATCTTAGCAGAAAGTCTGCACACCAGTCCAAGCTCATAGACAAATGCCTCTTCCCAGATTCCATCCCCTCAAATAAAGCTCTCCCACACATCTTTCAGCAGATGCTTGAGCAATATTTATAATTCACCTGACTTTCACTGGGCAAACATTACCTGCCAGGTCCCACTCCCTTCACTCCAATCACCTATTTGGCATTCTGGGCCTGTCCTGCTCCATTTGTCTATTTACCTTGTATCTGTCAGGTTTTCTGAAATAATTCACAATTGGCCCATGATCTGTGCACATATGCATAACTGAGAAGTTTTGAAGGATTCTTCCTTTCAATCTCTGTATCTTCCACCTATCAGGAATCAGATGGCAGTTTGAAAGAACTCTTAAATCTTCATTACCATAACCAGAGCCAGGAGCTGTTTGAAGACCAGGCTTTGGATTTCATGGAGGGAGTAACATCAGAACAGGAACAATGCATTTATACAACTCCACAGAGAGACAGTACCAAGTTTGAGTTCCTGTCCCTTGCACTCTGGGCCTGTGTCCCTGAAATAGGCCATAGCCAGCAATAAGCATGCTCTCCTCAGTACTGTGCACATCTGTGACTCACCCTACAGTGACTACACTCAGTCACTGGAAGATTGAAGGATGACATAGCAATAACATGTCATGTTAAAAACCTCACCAATAATGAGCCATTCCCACCTAACACAGAGAAATAATGCAAAACTCATAGTAAACCAATTTTTCCCAAAATATTTCCAGTGGGGCATTAGTCCTACCAGAGGCTATGGTCAAACTTTGGCTTCTTTTTCTCCTCCTCTTAGAGTCACAGAGCTGATAGGGTCTCCAAAGGATGTGAGAGGCCCTTTATAAGAAAGTCTGTTTAACTCTGCTTAACTCCAAATTTACCAAATATTACTTAACCATGGAATCTTGTTTATATAATATATTCACATTCCATAAAATCATGCTGTGTGGGACAGCACATTCGGGGAAGGATTATAGTAAACTTCTCCTTAAATGCCTCAGCCTAAATAACTCAGTAGAAAGAGAAAATAATTTGAGCCACAGCTGTGATGGCATTTCAGAACCCAGGGTATGTGGTGGGGTGGGGTGGAATATGGTCACATCTACTGTCATAATACATATATGTAATTTGATTGTGCCATCTAAAAACACATAGAGAGGGCCACCTGGGTAGCTCAGTCATTAA